ACATACATACATACATACATTCATTGATTGATTGTTCAGCAGTACCGTACGACTTAAACTTCAGATGTGGGTGCGAAAGCTAGTCACTTGCCCCCTAGCATTTAAAGCCGGAACAGCTGCATGACCGCTGGCTGCTGCGCCTCTATCAATCTGACTATCTCTCCACCTATTGATGTATCTATCGTATCTATCTATCTCTCTATCCAGCTATCTCTTTAATTGCCTAACTATCTGGCTGACGCATACTCGGATGCCCGAACCCCGCCCTAATATCAAAAACCCGGGCTTCGAAGGCTGCACAACTCGCTTCCTGGGTACTTTACAGGCACAGGCACATCTCACAAGACAGAGACGTAGGGAGTGCGGGATGTGATTGCAGGGAATGCAGGAGCCAGAGAAGCTCGTTGGTTCCTTGGATCGTTGCTACTGGCCGGACCTACCAGGCTGCGTCTCAGTAGTAGCATGTCCTGGTTGCTGCCGAGTGGTACTCACCAAAAAATATACACTCTGCGCTAAACTCCGTGCCCCAACACATGTCTCGCTAGCCTCATCTCTACACATGGGTTTTCAAGCGAGGACAAGGTGGCCTGAGAGGGGGGGCTGCTAAAGCTCAGGGTGAGGGACCTATTCAGGCAACGCCATGTGCAGGGGCAGCCTGTGGGGGCCTTCTGTCGGCCATCATCCCCTCTCATACGTGCCATTAACGATTGATTTAACGACCAAAGCTTAAGCGCTAAAAGACACCTCCTGCAAGCTCCGGAACAGGCTGGCTTTCGTGACTCTATGTGGATTAGATGCATAGAGATGTAGTGCAAAAAAGTACAAGTGCTACATATGCTTGAACAAACCATCTGGGACCTGTCTCGAAGTTGAAATAGAAAATCTCACCATCTTCAGACTCGCAGGGCTTCCAGGGCGCAGGCAACCTCACAAGGCAGCAGAAAGCTTCCGAGCGGGCACAGGTTTGTCTAAGGTCTGTAGAAATGCACATTGAACCAGCTGTAAGGTGCTGTGCCAGGCAGCGGTGCTTTTAAACCAGCCCTCGCAATCCAGAAAAGATCACGATCCTTTTCCAGGTCCTTGGAATGCTTTCCATGGTGTTCGTTTCCTGCCAAAACCGGAACCCCTTTGCTCCAAGCGTCCATGCCCAGCCATTCTGCATATTCTTCAACCTGCAAGAAAACAGGCTGCATTTGCTCTCCACCGCGAAACCTTCAGAAAGCCTCCTTCTCACTCGGCTGATAGTCGGGGTCTATGTGCTCATCCAGGAGGCTTCCGGCTCCCCGCGACATGGAACCTCCCCGAAGTGAATGCTCAGTGCCAAGCGGACTGTCTGACCCTTGCAGCCTTTCAACTTTTAATGCAAAATCGATCGAGGTGAGACCGGGCTCGATTGCGTGCGAGGCTGACAAAGGGATTTGGCATGAGCGGCAAGCTCTTTGCAAGGTACTTCTCATGCAATCGCTAGCCTCCACAGGTGAAACGGGGGCAGTTGGAACCGAAAGCTCAAACGTTGAGTAGACTCAATGAAAATGCTAGGACCTCATGGTCCTTCGGACCAGTCGAGGCTCGCTAGCCGGCCCACATTGCCGGACCAGGCGTCGCAAAACTCACTTTCGTTCGTGCTGGATCCACACCTGGCGCTGTGCCCACCTGCCATCGATCACTTTACCGATTCGGTCTCCAGGCACCTTGCTTGACCTCTGAAGGGAGGCCAAAGTTCGCGGCCTGCGTGTGGAAGGCGTTTGGCTTCGCCAGGTCGGCTGGAGCTCCGCATCTCCATGGACCCGTTCCAGAGATGCCTTGACTTACTGTACACAGAGCTGCGAAGTCTCCGCCCCCAGTGTCGCTGGAACTCCAGGGCAGGGCACCTGCTGTGAAGGACGGGCCACAGTTCGACGGCTGCACTCGAGGCAGCGGCACAGCCTGGCATAGCTGCTCATGAAAGGCCGCCAAGCAGAGAATCCGGGAGACTTTGTGCCTGACCGCCATTCTTGGCTTGGCCCTGCGAATATCCGAGCGGCCTGAAAGACTTGGCGCTGCACATTTGCTGTCCAGGTCTACGGGGCCCACTGATGCCCAGAGTCTGAAGAGCTCATGACTTCCGGGACTCTCATGCTCAGCCATACTGACAATCCGAGGCCCCGGGCGGAGCCAGGGCTGCATTGGGTGTGTAACCTCCAAGACCACAAAAGACGATCCACACTGACATGCGCACAGTTCTTGCATTGCGAGCTGCTAGTCGTCGTCGAATGCTGTCGTGTTCATCGCTCTGCTAACACTTTGGGAAGAACATGGTACGACATAGTGAACCCCTCCCCTCGTGCACCTGGAAGCTGTGGCTTAGCTGTACGCACGGGTGGCTCCTGGGTTGAGACTTCGCAGTTGGATGTACTCGACTCGAGCATGACATGCACGGCGGCGAAGTTGCAAAGCAAATGAATGTATAATGGAATGCGGAGCGGAACCGCAACGCATGGCGGCTGCACAGTACATGTTTGCAGCGGTCCTTGAGTAATGCAAGGATATTCTCCAACTCCTTTTTTACCGCCTCCGCCTACCATCTGGACACTCTCTCAAGGCTAGCATGGGCATGTCTCAGATGATGCAATCTCACACGATCATGAGCATGTAAACTATGAAAATCAAGTGGTTACAGTCGGTGCCACCGGCACACCCTGTAGTGCTTCGGCCTGGTTCTGCAGCTCCGCAGAAGTCATCAAGTGATTCTCCGTCAACTCCTTGTGCCTTTGCTTGAGAAGACACATAACAACTGCGCAGGATGCATACAGCTGAAACCGCAAGCTAGCTGCTTTCCAATGATTACTACTAGCCAAGCGGCGCGTGCAACTGGCCTATCTCGTCCTGCCAGCACGATGAGCTCTGGTGGTGCATCGCCTGCCGGACATTCAATGGAGAAACAGGAAATCATAACAGGAGTGCATCTGCTTGGCCGAGAGCTGAAAGGAGAATCCAAGTTCCTTTCCGCAAAGCGGAAGCAACACACGCTGTTTGTAGTTGTGAATCCGCAAGCTTCCGGCAGGACGGTGTTGGGGATGGCGTCTTTTCTCACTTCCCGGGACTAACGGACATGAACAGGACTTGCCTACATGACGGTGCTACGATGCAGATCTCACATCTTCACGCTTGCACAAAATCGCAAGCTGCCAATGCCCGGTAGTGACAAGCACAACACCTGACAGATCAACATCTGCCTCCAGCATCTGGTGCAGCTGCCGCTTCACTGCATCCTTGAAAATCGACTTGCGTGATGGGTAAAGACAAAGACTCGTACGCAACACCCAAGCCAGGCCTAACCGTCCATGCATGTTCGTGGAGCAGTACGGAGCGTAAGCTGGCTCTCTTCTCTCAGATCGACATCTTACCGGCGAGCTTGGACCATCTGCTCTCAGGACATTCCCATGTTGTAAGGTCAGCACCTTTGTAAGTCGTATCTAATGATCTTGTGATGGATCGAAACACAATTGCGAAGCGTAACACGTGTCACACAGCTTCTTCCATCTGGGCACGTCCACCGGCGGCGGGCTGCTCACGTTCTGAAGGACCCGCATGCCTCCGTTCTCCATGCTTGTTGTCAGTGGCCCCTCGTCAACACAGCACCGCATTGCCTACGCATGCCCCCCAAACCCAACACTGGCATCAGAACTACATGTAGCCACTGAGTGTCGCTTTCAACCAGCTCTCGTGCCACTAAGCTCACGGCTGCTCTCGGACAGCTTGTCAATGATATCCCTGTAGGTCTGCTCCTTTGCAAGCCTCAGATCCACGGCCCGGGTTCCCAGGTCCAGACTCCCAAGCCAAGAGTAATTACAGGGCGATGTGACTCTTTAGCCGTTCTGAGAGGATGGCATGGAGCCGGCTAGGGTGAAGAAAGGCTCTTGCTTGATGGGAAGCCTCCCTGCTTGCGTGCTTGCAGACATACTCCTACTCGGGGGTGCCCTTCGTGAGCTCGGGGTCCCGGGATCTTCCTATGGGAAGAATGCGAGCTTAGCAGACCAACGAGGGGGTAGCTTGCAGCGGGCTTCTTCGGAGCTGCTGAACGAGCACCCTTTGGTTTGGGCAGCTCGCGATTCGCCATCGAATCTCTCTCCTCCTTACCTTCTCTGCAGTGCCTTGCTGCTGTGAAGGCCTTTTGTCCGCTTTGTGGGCTGACCTCGTAGGCCTCTTGGCGCAACCCCCTGCTCGCTGGCGATGCACCGGCTACCTCGTGCCCGCTTCCTGGCGCTTGGCAACCGCCCGTCATTGCGAGACAGCTTACTTTCTGCTTGCTACAGTTGGGCAGATCCTTGGCATGGGTCCCTTGGTCTTGCTGGAGCTAGACTTTGGCTTCCCATCTCCTACTTTTGCGTTCTCTGATGTTCAGTGGCGGGTGCACAGACCAATTCGACAGCGCGGACTTCAGCCACTGGCTGTCCCCCTCCATAACACCTGACCTCGCCTGGCCTTTTCAGGGTCATCTCCGCATTCCTTGCGCTTCGCTTCGGTTGGCGCCACCTCACTCGGCTTTCGTCTTTGGCCTCGATGGATGGAATCACTGAACCGATGGCTCCGGCTTGGAGTTCTTCCTTGTCTGCTTTCCTGTGGCCCTAAAAGCCAGTGTCAGGTCGAGCCAGCGATGGACCGGCCTTGAACTGTAAGCCTGGTCTTGGACACTTGAGGAAAGCAGGTCACCACCGGCAGCAGCTTACTTGTAGGTCCAGCAAGCCCTATGACGGAGGGTGGTGCACCCGGTAGTCTCAGATCAAACTACCGACACGACCTTTGACTTTCAGCGCCCTTCCGAGATCCAATGCCAACTGCCACGTCATAAGGAATCCTTCGGAGCAGCTACCCTTGAGTTCCCATTTTCATCCAAGTAGCTGTTGACCCAAGAGTTCGGCACAGCGGCCGAGTTGCGTCCGGCAAGTGACCTGAGAGAGCCTACATGTACCTACAGGAAAATACAGCACGAGAGCTTCCTCAACTGCGCAAGCCATTGCAAGTCCCCGTTTTCTGGTCCGAGTGGCGAGATCCGTTGTGAGGTGCTGAATTTCACGCCTCTGCTCTCTCTGATCAGAAAATTACTTTCTCTTCGAGTGCACCTCGACGCCCTTCGATAATTACCTGTATCAGGTTGGTAGCGGCAGGGGTGCCCACTGCCACAGCCGATGCTATCTGAAATTCCCAATTTAGCCGAGATCGCACAAGCACACCATCCGTCTGATGTGCTTACGGTGCGCCACACAGCTAGATTTGTCAAGCTTTCTGTCAAGGAGCTCGTAGTAGTTGCACAAGTTCTCCTCAGCGGTGTTGTTCACTCTGGGCCCCCAACTATGAGATGGAATGTGTGGGTCCCAGGTCCACCAATTCATGGTACAGTATCGAATCCTTGTTCCAAGGAGCCCGCGACCCCCGGCTCAAGTTCATCAAGGGCGGATCCCCCGCAGCCCTCTCGAAGGCCCTTCGAAGGAGAGAAGCGAAAGGCAGTAGGCGTTTGTTCCTATTCAGGGACCGATGGCACTCTACCAGTTGCTAGCTCAGAGGCGGAAGCTGCTGAGATGATTTCCGTGCAGAACTCACGGAAGTCGTCAAAGGCGTCGCGCTTTCTGCCGCAATGCCTGCAGAGCTGATGCAACTCTGCACAGCGGGGCAGGAGAGGCATGAAAAAAGCAAAAACAGCTCCCCTTGCCCGTTGTTGAAGACCCAAAGTGGCCCAAGATGGGCTGCAGCATTATGTGGCTGGCGGGCTACCACGGGAATAACGGCACGAGAACACGATTGCTGAGTGTGATCTTCTAATTAATCAGAACCGGGGCAAGTGCATAATTTTGCCGAGGGGTTCGACGGCGTGACATGCCAATGACAACGGCAATCACGGCAAAACTGTGACATGACCCGAGGTTCACCATGGATGACCCGCTGCGTTCACCGCTAATGCAGCCGTGGGGATGTACAATCCTCAAGGGTCTGCCTGCAGAAGTCAGAGTCTGCCATGTAGATGTTGCCTTGCATGCGAGAACATGTTACGACCATGCGAAAGCAGGCTGCAGACAAATCTCAAGCTCATGAATTGCGTGATGTCGCCGAATGTAGCCCCGTGGCTTCGATATTGAATGATGCCCCATTATTGCAGTCTAAGACGTTGCCCGGTGGTTAGGATGAATGAACCCTGCCCACGGTTCAACGCCCGCAGTAGGGTTGCTGCATGTATATCGCTGACCTTTCACTCCCGAACAACATCTTGCGTCTTTTGCCGTGCAGGCTGTAAGTGCGGTGCCTCACCTTCATCCATGGTGGGGAAAACCGCAGAAAAAAAAAGACAGTCCCGCATGTTTGTTCTGCTCGCAAGTTATTGTCTTCTAAACACATCTGCAGGATCTGCAGGCGCATGGGGAGCTTCCACAGGAAATTGAGGCCCGTGCCACAAGTTGGGCCTTATCTCGGCAAAATGTGTAATGCTCTGCAAGCCCTGCTCAGCACCAAAGACAAGCACACCGTGGTGGCATCTGCTGGGGTGCCGGCATTGTGCCGGCCGCTCCATGATGGCCAATTCTGGGCTGCTCGCTTCACCGACAGCCACGGCTCTATCTTGAGTTCTGTCGATCATGGGTCCATGCCGGAAAGCAGATCAGATGTGACTTCACCATGTGCCCTGTGGCTTGCTTCTAGCAGCTGCTGCTGCAGAAGGGCATGTGCAGCTTGATTCACGGGCAGGCGATGATAGCAGTAGTGGCATGGATACCAAGTGCCTCTACGTCGCAGGCTTGAAGCTTCCAGGGGTCTCTAAACTGCCATCCTCATCGCATCACAAAGCATTGGACAACCTGGCCTCCCAACATCGAGGCCGTGCAGGGGCGATCTTTGGGAAGCACCCGGATGTGGTTCAATGTATACTAGGGCTTTCAGATCGGCCTTTGCATTCATACACTGGGAAGTCCGTCGGGTTGCAAGTCGGAGGGGTGGAAATGAAACAGGATGGGAAACTCAACGGCATTCTGCGCATTCATGAGAATTGAGCCAAAACAACATGAATAGGATCCTGCTGTCAGAACCTCAACAATGCCTCTGACTCAAGTCAGTGGACTTTGGACTTCATCGGTAAATGTAAACACAAGGCGAGTAAGAAACCTTCTGATGAAACATCAGTCGATGTCCGACCGGCCAGACTGTGCGAACAGTTGTTTCACTGTGCTAGTGGCCCTTAGGGGTGCACCTCACCACCCATCCCTGTCTGCAACTTCCAAAGAAGGAAGCAGGGGTTTGGGTGTGTTGCGGGCCGCAGAGTCAAGGGGCGGGGACGGGGAGGTCAGGGGAAGGGAAGATGATGAGGGGAGCGGAGGAGGGGTTATATACGTGCGGCGTATCATAACTCCTGTGCACTCAGCTTTACGCGCTGCTGCAGCAGCAGAAAAGTCGTCTGAGGCCCGCACGTCAGGCGCTTGTCACCTATAGAGTCGAGCCAAGAGCTTAGCATGAGATTCGCATGCAAGCGCATTAGGACATGAAGCTGATTCCGCAAGAAAATGGCAAGAGTGTATCTACAGTTACTCAATGCATCAACGAACGACCAGCCCTCCTTGACCTGTCCTTTCCCGTCTTCGTTCCAGTCCATTCCGGCCAATTCCAACAGTTTTCCCTTTTCCCGCCATTCTGGCCCTCCCTGCCTGCCCCCCCCACCCCCTCCTCCCCACCAGCCCCCCCACGCCCCTTTCCCCTCCCCTCTCCCCCCGCTGCCTGCCTTGCCCCGCCCCCATTCCTCTTCGTGGTCCTGAGGAAAAGCACTGTCGAGCCGAGGCGGGCTGCGTAGCCTTAGAATTAACCCCAAGTACATGCGGTCTCCATGCAATACTGTGCCTGGTCATCCAAGCAATCGACTCAATCGCAGCGAGGGTCGTTGTCGCTGTCATATGCACACGCACGCGCACACACACACACACAGACAGAGGGGGGAGGAGTTGCCGCCGCAGTCGTACTCAGCAGCTGCAGTCACATCTGTAGCGGCAATGCGGGAATGATGCTCAGTGAGCATGTCTGAGAATGAGAAGGATAGTCGCTGTACCTGGGAACCCGCAAAGCTTTAGTTGCAGAATTTGGCCCAAAGGACCATCTGCTTGACCACTTTCACTTGTTCTTCAAAAGTGCTGCCGATCCCCCTCACTCTCTAGAAGCACCAAGGACATGCAACGCGAATTTGAAACGACCGCTTTTGCCATGGCATACCAGAGGTACTTGTTGCCTCTTGTTCTTCGAGTCTGCACGACCCCGTTGTTTCACAACTAGGATCACACAAAGAGACATTATCTTCTTTCGAGCCTCAGAAGTGCTCTTCGATCTCTTCGTCCACCTGCTCTCCCTCGTCATTTGACTCCCTGGCAATTCTTTGCAAGCGGGCCGACTCGCGGATGGAAAGTCGAATCGTATCACTTCGCCTAGAGTCCCGTCCGGAATTGCGTCTTCCGGATTTTGAAGAACCTTGATTTGTTGGACTGATCATGCTGATGGCTTCGGTATGTAGCAAGGGGAGGATCCTGCCGCACATCAAATGGACTTCAGTGGCTTGAATCCGCTCCGTCCCATGAGATGTAAACTTGAGCGCCAACATGTTGAACAGGACGGTACATGTAGCCTTGACAGTGCTCAAATCAGTGCCAAGGTTGGCCAGCGCTTCCTCTGGAAAGCAATCGCCTGCCATCAACTTCTCGTAAAACGGTGGGTCTGGATAAAGAAAAGTCTCCTCTGCTTTCACGGGAATGAGCTCCGCGTTGGAGAGAGCACAGGCAGTCAAGCAAGCTGCGAAGGGTGCGAGCTGCAGGACGCCCTGAGGACGGGCCGGTACCATGAGCTGTGCAAATCTTAGGTTCCGAAGCTTTTCGACCTTGAAAACCTTCGGACCGAAACCACAAGCCAAATTGGGACAGATTAGTCTGATTTTGCAGATTGTGCGGCCTGTGTCAGGATGACAAGGACCACATTCGCTGAAGCCAAGACAGCAGTGAGCTGGTCCATGTCAAGCACGGCCAGGGATGGGTTCAGTAGGTGAACTTCTTCTTCCAGCTGCGCTTGTAGAAGAAGCTGCATCACACGGCAGCAACTGCCAGGTTCAGATGACTCCATGTCCCCCAGCATGAGGACTTTAGGGTTCGTCCCAAAGCCCGAAAGGCTCTCGGAGCCTGTTCCAGGAGAGAAGACACGCTGCATATTTCTCGACAGACCTTTGCAATGCGTAAGCACGATTTGGACCACCCGTTCATGCTCTGCAACCTCCGCCCCGCGCCTATCCAAAGCTATCACAGGCTTGCTGAGCAAATTCATATACGCATCTTTGATGCTCTGAAAAGAAATTCCAATGTTGGCTAGAGTTGTCTGCTGTTCTTCAGTCCATGCCCCAGGAACGGCATCGATGCATTCGTGCGTCACCACACAGCCATCACAAGCGACCTGCACAATGTTGGTTCCACTGCCCCACGAACTTGCAATCTCCGCAGCACACCAGATGCGCTTCAGGGTCTCGCTCGTTAGCAACACCAGCAAGTTCTGGGTGCCGGCACCTGTGATGTCAACTATGGTTTCTAGACGATCTACATCGTCTGAATCCAAGAAGACTTTGTCACTGATCCTTTCTGCCAGCAACATCTTGAACCAACGTGCCAATGTGCCCGCGGCTTTCTTGTGGTGACTGATGAAGACCCCATATGGATGCGAAGTCTTCATCAATCGCATAACTGAGACAGCGAGTGCCAAAGTCAACCCGGTCACTGCAACAGCGAGGAAGAGCAATAATAGAACTTGGACCACATATGCATTTTCCTGATCCTTTTTTAGTAGCAGCTGCCCTGTCGAAACCACCAAAAGCAAACAAAAGCAGAGGCTGACATCGAGGATGTTGGCTATCTGGGTCCGCCATGGCCAGACACGAGCTGCCAAGGAGCCATAGATGGCAACTGTCAGGTGAAGTAGCCTTGGCAGTTCAAAACAGGTGAGTTGCGAAGCTGGCAGTGCTGGACATCTCGCGTCACCCGTCAAGTCTTAGTCTTAGAACTTCCGGATGATGCCTCCCCTAAATAGGCCAGGGTACACGAGCTGAATGGCTGGAAGGTGTACGAAAACAATCGGAGACAGGCCCACAATCAGATTTCGAACAGCCAAAACCTGTCGGCAGACACTTTCTGGGCTGTTTGAGTGGTCAAACATAAGATGCACCAGCTGCCAGAATGCACACGAGCGGGTAAACAATGGCATGACTGTAGCCAGGGCTTCTGTGACTCATTCCTAGAGATGCGTTGGTGCACACTGCTTTCAGCAAGGCGGCCCAAGCAAAGTAGTAGCTGTGCTGGTGGAAACCTTGGCCCCCGAGGAGTCCACCGTGCACTGTTCATGATGCTTGTGAAAGGACGGGGAACATATTCCACATCATCTCCTTATAGTCCCTACGCGGTTCTGCTATAACATACCCACAACCTGTTCTAATTACTGAGGTTAGTAAGCCCCCCAATGGTGGGCTGCAGCCCAGGCGCGTGTGAATAGAAAGGACCAACGCTTCACAAAATCTACACCACCTGCAGCACGGCAAGCGAGGGGATACCTGAGAATCAGAATAAATCCTGCCCGCTATACCCTAAACGTCCCGAAATTCCATGAACCCCAACAGCCTCCAGCCTCGTTATGTCGAAAGACCAAAGAATCTGCTCTGAGTCTTTGTCCAAGCTGCCTCCAGGTCGCCCAAGTCACAAGAGCCAGGTAGGCCACAACAACTCCCAACAGGGGTATCACTGACAAAACCACCATAACAGTGTGATCATGGTTGTCCCAGCATGTGAGGCCCCGGTAAGCAACCAAACTGGCACTGCCATCAGGATTGCGTATACACCGGAAAGGCTGCAAGGCGACATATGTGAGAGCAATGTAGAGGGCTGAAACCAGAAGACCTTGCGTGTTGACGACCTGGTAGATGCTGATACTCCTGCCACGAACAAAGTGGTTGAATGCGAAAACCATCAGCATACAAAGAGCACAAAGCGGGTATGCAGAGATGGCCATACCATATTCCAGCAGCGGATCCACTCCTCCCACCCAACACTGGGGCCGTAGGAAGCCAATATCAAAAGCCAGGATGGACAATGCAGCTCTCAATGAATTTAGGGGTTCGATCCATTCGAGCTCTATCCTGGTAAATGCCGACAGAGTTTGTGTCGCCATCACAGCCAAACCGGCAGTGACTGTCAGCGTCATCATGGACTCGCGATGGGGCTTCTCAAGTCCCACACTGTACTGATACAGCACAAACATGGCCGCGACGACAAGGATGCACGAAACCAAAACAGGCCACACTGCAAAGTCGGTGCATGGTGTACAGCCGCTGCCATCATAAAAGTTGCCGAGGGTGCAAGTTGCACAGCCCCTGCCCTTCATCCGGTCAGGGCAGTGCCCCAAGGGGCCAGCGGGACAGCGAGCTGAAGTCTCGCATGTGACCACATACGACGGATCAGCACCAGGAAAGTCTGGGACACCTGCAGAAAACCCCACGAGCTGCATCGGTGGCTGATGATTTTGACTGGTGGCGTTCTCATCTGAGAATCCTCCTGAGACTGGGGAGATGCTGGTCTCATTTGGTTGCATGATTCGACTGAAGCGAATTAGAATGAGAAGAACAAGTTGACAAAGCGTCCTCGGCAGTCCAGTCCCACTCCACAAGCTTTGCACCACGCGGGAGCGCCAGGTGAAGACCTGTGCCAAAAGCGACCTGCTGGACAGAGACACTGCAGTGGCGAGATGCTGCCTGGATATCGAGTGGTGCTGCCTGGCAAGATATCCTCGCAGGATGTACACACAACAGTTCCGTCAGCGACTTCGGCGGTTGCCCCTTGATCACGGAAGGATCCAATGTCGCAAAGGCAGGAAGCTTGGCCAAGATCAGGCTGGGATGACAGCACAGCACACACCTTGCACTCAGCAAGCCCTTCTTCATCAGCATACGTTCCGGCTGGACACAGCTCGCATTTGTCGGAGCTGTTGGCTCCCCGAAACTGACCTGTTGGGCACTTGTGGCAGATCCCCCTATGGGCCTCGCTCCGTTGCTCTCGTCCAGCCGGACAAGCACTGCATGTAGTGGCCCCCGTAACTCCGGGTAGCAAACCAGTCCCCAGCTCGCACTGCTGGCACACCGAAAAAACCAGCCCATTGCTTGGCAAAGAGCGGTAGGTGCCCTCCGGGCAAGGACTGCCTTAGCTTCCGTCTGGTCTCTAAGGATCAACCAATGCCGCCCTGCCCTCTTCGAAACACCCTGTCTTCGACCAAGGAGCATCTCTTGGGGACTAAGTCATCCTGGGTGATTGCTGCGGCATAGGACCCTGATGGGCATCCCAATCGTACCTCTCCGGGACGGCCACGCGCATGTCTTGTGAAGCAACCGCACAACAAGGCGAAGGTCGACGCAATCAAAGACGTAGCGGAATGTCGCCGAGAAACTTGACATGACACTGGAGCTAACCCCACAAGCTCCTGGAACATATACATAAAGCCTTTCAGATCTTTACCGAGGCCAATGACCGCAAAACCGGTGCGTTTGGCTGCTGGACGCTACAACACAGAGCTCAATTCCGATATCACTTGAGGAATTGCGCTTGGTGGCCGGGGTGCTCCATGATACCCAAGCCTGCTGCCAACCAGAACCGCCGTTACCAAAACAAAAGCTCTAGATGAAGCCAAGGCTTGGTGAGTATAGCTAGGCTAAGATATTTCCAGCGTCGACATGAATGTGGAATTCCTTCCGGGCCATACACGCACATACCTCGATAACCCGCCCGATCGTGGAAAGTCTTGCGGAGATTCTCGGATGCAGCGACTTATCCCTTCCTTGCTCAGCTTCTGCCTTGAGCTGAGGCAGTCGCAAGTGGACAAGGGTCTTGAAGCACCGGCCCGGCTACTTGTAGCTAAAACTGCCCATCCCGGGTGAGGACATGGGGGTCGAGGACAGCACTTCTGCGGGGATTCACAGAAGCCATCTGCCTCCCAAGAAGGCGCCGGGAAGCGAAACTCGGTGCTCGCGGCTTCTGCAGGAAGAACGGGCCTGAATATGCAACTTGACACCGCTAATAAACAATGACAGTTGGCAGTTTCGAAAACAAAAAACACCTGGACTCGCTGTATTCATGCTTGTGCCGGGGCGCATTGTAGTGCCATCTTCCAGCACCTTGGCATGCAATGCGTGCCGGTTCGGCACGACACATGCAACAGCACTGCGTAAGTGACAAGCGACAACAAGCGCTGATATGGCTGCGGCTACCGATGCCTCTCCTGCATGAGCTCCAAACAAAGGGATACCTTCCCGAAGCTGCATTGAAATGCCTGCCAAGGAGCCTGCCAGCTTACGGTAAGTCGTCCATTGTTCTGGTTGAAGCCTGCTGCGAAGCATGAAGTGATGAACTTCAGGTGCATCTGCAAGCATCCCTCCGTTGGAGATTTGCTGATAGCGTGCACACTAAGCACTGGACGATTGAAACGGAGCGTCCCGAAGAGAGTTTCATCGTTCAGGTTACCAATGGAGAGTCGAATCTCTTCACGTCGCGCTTCAAGAGTGCTTGGCAGAGGCCTCCCATATCTCTGTAATGAGAGCGCCAGAGCTATACCTGCAGCATCGTGAAAACGCTCAACAACTGAAACTAATTCGTATCTAGATTGCCTGACGATGTGTCTAAACTTATCTATGACAAATCAACTACTTCAATTGCGGTGGGCATGAGGGTCTGCCCATGGCACAGTCGAATAATCTACGTGTAGATGCCAAGATTCCTGCACTAGTGCAAGCTGCAGCATCGTAGCTCGGAGGCCGTGCGAACAGCTCCGAGAATTGGCGCACCATTTCACTGGAACTGCCAAAGAAAGGATCGGAAAAGAGCATTCCTTGGTGGGGACCGTCAGCTATACGATGCAACCCACCCCAATGACCCGAAGCTCATGGCCAAGCCACCGTGGTGCCATTGCCCGCCACCCATGTTGTACAGGGCATCGGCGGTGTCAAGTGCTGCAGTTCCATTCTGCCAATAAGATTCATAGCCGTTCCAGGCAATTCCTGCAACGTTGGGTCCCCCAAAATACATCTGAAACGCAAACTTGCGTTGACGCATGGCCACCAGCCCACTTCGGGCCGAAGTCAACCAGTTCACAACCATATCTGGATCCTGCCCCTGTCGACGGACATCCTCTATGATGCCCTCTACGAAGGTAATCAGGGCAGGGGAGACGACTTCATCGCGTGGGTTCAGCCCAGCTTCCAGCACGGCAGCTTCGGACACTTCATAGAAGCTCGGCATGCTGGCAACCTCGTACTTGTATCCAAGGGCATCGAATTCGACTTGCTCCCCGCAGCGGCAAGAAGAGTTGATGACCCGGCACGTCTGGGTCATGTTGGCCCATTGGTGGCACCACTCCAACGTGGGACCTATCAGTGTCATCGAGGATTCCAAGCTCCATTCCGCTGCTGCCACTGCTGATGTTCGAGGAAACCCCCAGTCGTAGCTGCGAATGATCACAACACGTTGCAATCCTTGCAGGGCAGCTCTCCTCATGGGTCCTCGGGAATACCACGGAAAGGGCAGGTGCATGCCAAATGCATGGGGTGTTGCCCCAGTCCATTGAGCAGGGTTGCCACCAGAGCAATGCAAGTTAGGAATCTGGAGTGATTCTCCCAACTGCTTGATGTCATCGTTTCCAGCAGAAGAACCAACTACAATGACATCTACGTCCCCTGCTCTACTGAGGCAGCTTTGAACAGTGGATGCTGTAATCGGTTCACCGTTGCCTGCAATGTCGAACTCGCAAAGAGACGCATTCAGCAAGTAAGGCGACTGGGCATCACCTGTAATCGTAAAGCCACCCTGACTGTTCAAGAACGGGACAAAGAAGTTCAGGAAGCCATCCTTCCAACCCACGTTGTCTTCAAGCGCGTTGTGGATCCTTGCTTCGTCCAAAGCAGGCCAACAGCTTCTGATTCCGCACACTGAAAAAACACGCAAGAAACATGTGACCTTGCCCTGTTTTGAGGAGCCGACAGTCTGCCTAGAAGCCATCGTTTCAGGATGTCTGGCCCGCAACAAACACACCAACAAACAGGGTTGCAGAGTGCACCCTCTTCTGTCCAACAGTGATCACGTGAACATCGCGAGCAGCTTCAGGCTGTCCATATCTTGAATTTTTACGAGTTCAAGCAGCTGTGTCCAGAGTAACGTCTACGGTAAGTCTGCCACAGACTCGTACCTGTCTGCGTGACTTACAGCAATTGCAGGATGTTGGGGCGATCAATCACAATGCGCTGCCGGGCGAGTCTGCGACGGTGCACACGTTCGTTCCTCTTTGCTCTTTTGAATGCACCCTTCTATGTTCCATTGATTCTCGACAGGGCCGGACAGGGCTCATTTACGCCTCGGGAGTGTGCAAGTCTGTCTGGGTGCCCCTGCTTCCGCGCAGACACGGCTGAAGCATGTTGGCTACATGTGCGCCTTGTGCGAACTTGTGCGAACCTGAGGTCTTGACTTCTGGGCTCGAACTTCAAATTCAACCAGGACCCTGGAAGAAGCCATATCTGGGGTCTGTTCCGCTTCTGATGAACTGGCAGCCCAACCCTCCCAAAGAAAAAGAAAAGCAGTCAGTGGCAAGGACACGCGATCCGGGGCATAGGTCCGGTTACAGGGGTCTTCCCCTTTTTGGGCAGCGCTTCGTTTTACCAACTGGAGTCCGTGCAGTCTGCCGTCGTGTTCCGAAGGGCCACTAGAGAAACAAGGTCTAATCACTTTCTGGCATTCGGCCGCTCGAAATGGCTTGTTTCGGATGCTCTGCTATTCCTTGCACACCATCCCCCGAGACGGAGTCCGTGCAATCCAGCTTTCCTCCTAAATTTGCCATCCCAATCTAGACCCCGTGACGTGCACGTCTCCCACCGCTCAGAGATCCCACGCACAACTACAGCCTGGACCAACTCTGCCCGAACCACCGACATGCGCTGCACACCTTGTGACCCAGAACTTCCACGACTTAAGCTGGCGAGGGTCATCAGAACATTGATAGTACCAGCGTCCACGCACGTAACGCAGAATGCAATCCAAAGAAGCGATCTCGACACCATCAGCATTGGAGCTATTCTCCCAATCAGCAGATGGACGCCGCCCAATTGCTGGGCATACCCGGCTTCTCATTGGAAGTCATGCGAACTAAGCTGTAGTAGGTTCCCATACCGGGAACTGAGAACCCCAAAAGCGCAGCGGATATGTCAAGGATTGGCAGGGGCATGCACTCATTCCCCCGAGTTCCTGTTCGTTCGGACATGTCAGAACTGAAATCGCAAGTCCACGGACGTGAGAATGCGTCCATGGAGATTCCCTCAGCGACACCGGGGCGTGGGCCAGCACCCTTCGTGGACTTACCATGCACGTCATCCTCGAATAGCAATGCGCACTCTGCCACAGCGATCAGTGGACAACCCCTCCATGCAGCTACACTTTGGAAATGAAAGGGCTTGCAAACCTTCAACGACAAATTCAGCTCGGCGAATGTCGTGCTGCAGCTCAGTTGTTCCCGTGAGATTCCACATGTGAATGTGCCTTCACGAAACAATTCAGGGCAAGCGGATGGCACGTCAAGTTACCCATCTGAACTTCCAAGCTGAAGAACTTTGGCGCAACCTTTCTTGTTAATCCGTTGCAGTCTTTCGGGACTCAGTAGTCGGGAAGGGAATATTGTTCTCATTCCTCGAAACAGCAGGGCAAACAGCAACACACTTTCAGGGAATAAGTTCCTCGGCCGCAACTACTTCAAGTCCAATATGGTATGTTAATGCATGGCAACCGACCCATATCGCAATGGCCAACATCTTGCGCTTGATGAAACTTGTGTCGAAAGAGGTGGACGTGCAAAATGCTCACCCTAGTTAGTGACATTTACTGAGATGTGACAGTGCGAGTTTACGATGCTCAAAGGATCCGAAATGCTTGTGACAAGACGCAGACCTCGAAGCCGACAGATTCGAGCCTTGTTGTAGATGATGTCTTTTTCCTGCAGGTCTGCCTCGGAGATGGCCAGGTAATACCTCAAGGTCATGCTGGCAAATACGACGGCCACTTCGCAAACAGTGCATTCGTTCCATCTTACCTCAGCCCATGGCCCACTGCCCAGGTGGCGAAGCAGAACAGGCCTCGACCCAGTCGCTCGCATGATCGACTTGACTTCATTTGTGGCCCCCTAGTGCCCTAGTAATACCAACTTGCCAACATCCCAGCACGCAGCGTGATGCTGTACTCGATGCCCGTGTCCTCATTGCAAGATTGAAACGCTACCGATTGAGCTGTCCATGCAAGCTGCTCCTTCAGGAATTCGTGCGACACCGGCTCAATCACCCAGATGTCCTAGCGGAGGGTGACACGAACGCTCCCAACACAATATCTGCAGACTGACAAATGTCGGCGGCACACCCTGTACCGGAGTGGTAAAGACTGGGGAGGGAGAATATTTCAGTGCTCGTTTTTAGACGCTGTGAGACTCCTGCGTCTGTCGACTGCAGCTCACGTCGTTTGCTGGGTGGTTTTCCTGGCTTTTACGTAAAGTGAAACTGCGTACGAGGCATTGTTCTACACCCCGAAAGGCGATAACCCTGTTGTCCTATGCCTGTGTTGCGGAGCGTCCCAACATGTCCCAACCCAGCTCTTCTTCTGATTCTGGCAAATCATTGCTTCCCCATGTTTACAGATGCGGGGATAGGCTCGGGGCCTCTGTCCTGAACCGAGGTCGCGTACATTGAAAGTCACTAAATACACGGCTCGAGCATGCATGTGCATATGTACGTCACAGCTCACAACTGCAATCATTCTTCGGTTAACAGCCTGTACGTGCACTCCTGATCGACATGGATGCACGCTTGCAGCCCTCGCGACCGTCTATGAACATGGGTGCACGCACACGGGTGCAAATCAGGCTCATTCATGCTTGTGGCATATATGCACATGTACATGTGCATATAGGCACGTGTGCAGACAATACATCCAATGAGGTCAGATACGACAAGACACCATCAAACCAATGCAACACAACGTGCCACACCACGCTATCCAAGCTGCATCTTTGGTTCCATAACACTGCACGACAGCTCGAGACTTAAGACTAAGTTACACGACGATGCGCTACACTGCACGCTGTCTGCACACGGTTATGGCCCTGCTAAGCCGGAACCAGCACGGTTTCAGTCGCAGCCATGCTGCGATGCACGACTTCTCTTTCAACATGTTAACTACTACATGCAGCTGCACTGACGAATTACTGTCAACATCGACATGGGGCCATTCGCATCTCCTGGAAGTGTGTGTCTGCGTGCGAGAACAACGTGACCAATTGCATTGGGACTGTTTTGGTGGAGAGCATTTACGATGATTGATGAACTGGCTTTTGTTGCCTGGTACGTTTTTCCACGGCTGGAAACACTACTCTGCTTTTGAGTGCGACAGAACCGCAACGGTGCTTTCCCTTTCGGGAATGTCACCTTCCCGCATAGATCAATTTGGCTGTTAATTGACGTGTAAATATAGGTGTTAGTAAGAAGCTCGATAGTAATTATATTCGATAGCAGCAAAACCGAAAACAAACGTATTGGCGCCGGAAACTTCGACAGAAAGGCAACACTACTGAACGGGTTTGGAAGGGGCAGCCAAGACTTCGAACACCATCGCTAGGTCACCACGTTGCTCACAAGCAAGAAGCTCAACAACGCCTCTACGGTCTTAGAGGATGCGCCAGGGCGGGCAATTGCGCCTTCGCACAGAATTCGCGGATGTCCAATGTCTCGTCCCGGACGGCACGCATGTAAGGAGCCTTCTTCCTCGGCCAACAGCCAAGTCGCATCGCGTCTAATGAGCAGTCTGGCTTGAGAGCGTGGCTCTAGCGAGCAGCTTGCCGCTAGAAAGCCTGAGCTCTCACCCTCCATCCCCGGCAATTGACCGACTCCTGTTCTTCCTCTTGGCTCTGGGCCGCGTCTGTGTGGGCTGTACAACCTTGGCCAGCATCACACCTATCTTTAAGACAAGATCCGACTAAGGACTAGACTATCAGACAAGATGGGACAAAGGACTACAGGCTATCAGAGCTGCGACAAGCCGAGGATACGGTGCCCTGACAAAGAGCTGAAGCCCAGGCCTGATGGGCAGGCCGAAGGAGAGGGCGACTCTCGAGCCTGGAAGCTCAGCAAAGCTAAGCCCTCTTTAAGCCAAAACCCGAAGCACACAAACCCCTAAACCCTGAACCCCTAAACCCTATTATAAACTCCGAAACCCTGAACCCCGAAACCCTAAACCCCGAAACCCTGAACCCCTAAACATTATAAACTCCTAAACCCTTTAAACCCCTAAACCCTATAAATTCCTAAACCCTAAACCCCTAAACCCTGAACCCCTAGACCCTGAACCACTAAACACTATAAACTCCTAAACCCTGAACCCCTAAACCCTATAAACTCCTAAACCCTCAATCGCTAAACCCTAAACCCCTAAACCCTGAACCCCTAAACCCTATAAATTCCTAAACCCTATACACTCCTAAACCCTAAACCCCTAAACCCTGAATCCCCAAACCCCATAAGCTCCTTCTTCTTCTTCTTCTTCTTCTAAGCTTCGACCTTCAAGGGCCTGGGCCCCGGCCTTTCGGGTCGAGAGCGACACGCCGGCTGTAAAGCCTGGGCGCTCTTTTCGTCGAAATCTTTCACCGACGAGGTGACCCGGTTTAGGATTTTTTTTGCCTCCGACCTAGCTAGGGCTCGTTCGGTTTAGGCTTTTCAGCACTCGCGCTCGGACAAGCCTGGGTTTAGGGTTTAGGGGTTTAGGGTTTACGCTCTCACAACTCGGACATGCCAGGCGAGGTTCATGGTGCGAAGTCGGCGTGAGACAGAACTACGTATCCCCAAAAAGCGAAGAAGCCAAGTGCACAAACCGCCACATCTAAGACCCTTACCGTCAAAGGGCCCATGCGGGGACACGCTCAGAAAACTACAGCAGTCGGTGTACATGTTGTGAAACCACCAAGATAAGCTTCTAAAGGTAATTTTCATCTGCTTCACTACTCTGAGGTTAGTGGCAAACGAGAACCCTCGCAAGCTCCACAGAGCTAGCTTTCGTGATCGTGCAGAGAGCTGCAGTTCATTGGCACCGCAACGCCTGTGCACAATCTTGGGATTGGAACTAGTGCTGGCAACCAGTTTTGCCGCAACAATTTGACTCTTCTAAACCACCCCTAGGGTCCAATCTCTAAACCGAGTAAGTTTCGTAGGTATGGCATGGTATGACATTGGGATTAGCCCTTACTCCCCTACTACCGTCAGCTACGGTGCAACAATCAAGCATCAGCAGCGAACAAGCTCCTGTGACTCAGAACTCGCCGAGTTCACCAGCTGGCCAGCGCGGCCAGCACCA